GGGTGACGAGGTTTTATCTAGAAAAGATTTTTGTGGATAATCTCTTTGAGGAGGGTCGCGAGCCAAGCAAAAGGTATTATGCATGCAATTAGGCCCACTGGAGGAACCGGACTCAAGTCGTCGCCTGACAGGTTGGAGTAGCAGCGTGTTCACACTTTTAGCAGCAAAAAAAAAAAAAAAAAACCCGCCCCGACCCGAGAAGCAACTGTGAGCACATTTGAACGGACGAGCTCGCTCAGCAGGCCGAAACAAATGTTGGATGCGGATGAATTTATTCATGAGGACATGGCAGACTCTGCGGATGAGTGTTTCGCTCCAAAGCCGACGGTACTGAGACTCTCGTGTAAGATTTCTGCAGACAAACTTTTCCTCCTTTTTTTCTTTTTCTTTTTTTTTTCTTTTCTTTTCTTTTTTTTTTTTGCGGATCCATCTGTGCTCGGTCTTTACGACACGTTTCAGCCTCCATCCTGTCCTGCCAATTGCCGACGACACATTTCCATGGAGCGTTTTTTTTTTTTTTTTTACTTTTTTTTGGCTCAATAGAAGTAGCAGTAGGTTTACAGTAACAGTATTATTCGACGTGAAGCCATCTTAACAGTCTGCTTCTCTTCTTCTCTCGCTGATTGTACAGAATCCTTCACATGTACCGATTAAAGAAAAAAGAAAAGGGCAAAAAGTAAAAAATAAATAAATAAATAAATAAAAAAGCCTGACTGAAGTTTAGATACAAGCCTTCAAATATCTCACACAGTTTGGAAGAAATGCATGAGTACATAGGCTCAATAAAGTTACACACCTAAATACCTAGAAGTACCACATCAAAAAGATGTTTACCATGTTTAAGCATCATGGTTGGCTTAGATTAGTCAATGTATAGTGCTTCGTTCACCATAAAACTTGCCTCAAGTCACCTAATCAAACCGTTTGAGGTACAAGTAACAAGGCATAAACTGCATGGGGAAAATAAAAAAAAAATAAAAAAAAGACCCTTCAGGGTGAGAAAATAACTAACATTAAGAAAGTTGTATACAACAACAAAAAATGTACTTTTGTTTTTAAACTACTTCTTTGCAAATCAAGACTCAATCTCTACGTATGGTCAACGATATCTATCAAGCTGTCTATCGAACCATTTCCTCTCTAATCTCTAAAGGTGCTTTTGTGTGCATGTGTGCAAATGTGCATTTGGAGTCACCACACTGAAATGTACTCACTTATAGAGGCATTTTGCATAATGTTCGCACACCGATTTGTCTCTCTTTAAGCTACGTAGAATGTGGAAAACTCACAGACTTTATAGCAATATACCACATGTCGTCTTTGAGAGTGTAATAATCGCTCCGGGCGTGTTCTGCCGATTTGGGATTTTCTCATCAGACGCCATCAGTGGCAACAATAAGCGGTACACTGATTATCGTTAAAAAATGCGACATGTTAAATTGGAAAAACGAGTCTGTTTTTTCTTCTTCTTTTTTGGGCTCAAAAACAGATGAGAAGAAATCAGTATGTCTTGCTTGATTTTACTGAATAACAATGCATAAAATTGGAGCTAAAAAGAAATGCTGACACTTCCACTTGAGGCAGTAGCATAATTTTAGATGTGTTTATTTTCTCCCTTTTTGTATCTGGTTAGTTGTGCAGACGACATATGGGGCACTATTGGTGTGTGCGGAAGGAAGCGGCACCTCCTACAGTCACAGGATCACTAAAAAAAACATCAGACGCTGTTAGCGGCTAAATCCAATTTCACCACTTGTAGCTCCTTCTTAGCCCTTAGCCCAAACAGGTAGGACCTCCCATTTATTTGCATGGAGTAAGGTGAGGGTTAGGTTATAAACAGTATATGGCTAGAGTATATAAAACAACAACAAAAAAAAAATATATATATATATTTTTTTCAATGTAAATGATTTTACCATCACAACAACCACTGTTTTAAATATGGTGCC